AGAAACTAAAGTCCTCAATGGCAAAATGCCAATAAGGATTCAAAGCTAATTGAGTGTGAATATATGTTTTTTTTACTTTTATTAGTATTTTTTTTTATTCACCAGACCAGCAAAAATTATTATTAAGCATAAGCAAGGGCCTGGGTGATTTGTTCTCGAACTAGACCTTGCGGGTTAGTTCAAGAATGAATCATTTCTTTGCTACGGTTAAAAAACCACATTTCAGGACGCATGCGTGCGATCCAGCCTCACACCACGATTTGAATACTGAATGGGTGACGTCAGAATTACGAGGAAGTCACTCTAACTCGTATTTGTAAAATAGGGGTGTATTTGACGCGGATTACTCCACCGTCCGCAAATCGTATTATTTTTTATCAATGCCACACTGCGCGCGTGCTTCAACTACTTTTTTTACAGAATTACATAAAAAGGGAACGGTCCAATTAGTAAATTTAGTGGGTTATGTCGAGTTCACGTCAGAAGAGTTCTCAAAAACTAGGTCAGGCTAGATTGCTTAATGCAGAAAATATTCGACTTACTGCTGCCACTACACTGCACTAATTAATGAAAGCTAAATAACTACTCTCTACCGTGTATCGTCCATCATTTTATTTGTGACCAAAGTTAACTACCATTAATTAATTATGTTTCCCTGAAAAATTCGAGTACATTTTTATATGCGCAGTCACGGTCGATTGCTCGTATAATTTCTGAATGTTCTCGTATGATTTCCGCAAATCAACTGTACAATTTTAATTACGCGGAACACACTAATTGCAACGGTTGCGTTTCCAGAGATTGTTATGTTATGAAAATATTTTGTTTGTCTCTCTTAAAATACACGGACTTTTCCGTTTTTGCCGTTCGTATCGCCATTAATTTTATGTTATATCTTGAAATGGATGGCATATATACAAATAAGACATATATAAATGTTAAATGTTCAATATAATGCAATCCTGAATTTTCACCCGTACGTCCTCAATAAATCAGTAATGGACATTTCTCCAAAAAGTCTATTAAATACGAACTCATGAATGGAGCTAAGGAATGGAACAACCTCCCGGCTTCTTTCCGTCCTGTTTTAACGTAGACGTCTTCGATATAAGATTGAATAGGCTTTTACTGAACTAGTGCGTATAAATAATATGATGTGCGTACTTACAATCAGAGGATGCATCGCCAATTACCATCAGGTAGGATGCCATCCTAAAGTGCTGGCCAGTTTCGAATAAATAAAATAACTGGAAAAAGCACTATCTGACACTACCAGTATTATCAAGTTCCAAATTCAAATCACTCTAGATTTAAAAGTCCTAATTAATGGCATTTATGTACGCTAAGAAGCATTTGACGACTGACATTGGCATAAATAAAGCTTTTAGTTCATTAGTGGGGGTTTACCTCATTTTTAAAGAAAAACATGGCAGACGTTTCTAAAGAGATGCTTAGCGTCGCGTCGTATATAGGCTAGAAAAGATAATTCTTACTAGTTGTCCTAAAAGACAGTGTCCGCTCAATACACAATTAATAATTGCAATTGCTGCAAAATACCTTCATAAATACAGTGATGTACAAAAAAAATTAAATTTTGCTCTTTGCTAAGCGGATAGAATTATCGGTATAGTTCGTCGAAATATTTTTACTTGACACATTTGAAATATTTCGATATGGCACAGAACGTTTCTCCTTTTCGAATAAAGCAGGAGTCGTAAAATTCTTCAATTTGTCAATTAACTGCTTCATAATATTAGAAATATTTGCAGTTGCTAAATTTGCAACTCTTTAATTAAGAATATAATAAGTCATATTATATAGCTGCAGCTTTCTTCTCTATATTCCATAACACACTTTTATCAGAGCCGTATCGACACAAATCTGAGTTCACTCGACCCAGCATTCCGTAGAACTTAACTCAGAATTTTTATTATTTTTATAGCCTGTATTCGACTGATTGTTTTAAATTAGTTCGATCGACCAACAAAAAAGTTTTTTTATCGGAGCAATTGCATTGTTGCTATGCTGTTAGAAGTTTTCATCACATCCTGTATGGAGGCTAAAAAAATTTATTTATTACCTAAACCTGATGATTCAAAAGCGAAGGGAGTGCGTCGGCGAAGGGTGACTTGTGTCGGATGTCTGCACAAATTGATTTTTGCACCCCCTAAGGGGGCAGTTTTCAATCTAGTTTAGGTGCGCTGGGGAGAAGCCCTCACTGACAGGCGAGCTTTGAAACCCGCGCCCTTTGAGATGGGCGATTTTAATTTGCCATTAGACATATCGGCCTGTACAAGTGCGTCCGGAGACTGATATTCTGAATTAATTAAGTTCGATTAATCGTAAACAGTGTCTGCTTATGATCGTTTATGATACTATGATGTTTCTTATTAAGAGCCGTATCGAACTTGCGTGTAGTGTTGACTTTGAAGAGAGAGCGTAATATAGGAAGTCCCCTTATAAATAAATGTTTGTAAAACAAGCTCACTAACAGGAAGGCTATCGCAGCATGCCAGGCACACGTGGGGAACAGTATTTTCACTCATATTATATTTGAAATTATCATCATCATCCTCCTGCCCTTATCTGACGACCCGAATGACGTAGGGGGTAGTGTACCTGCCTCCTGCGCCAGAGGGTGTGGGTTCGATACCCGCTGCTGGATAAATATTTTGTGCTGAATATAGTGTTTTTCTAGTATCTGGGTGTTTATATATGTATAACATGTATTTATTTACAAAATAAAAGCTTGTTTAAGTATAATTATCAGTTACCTATGGTACAAGCGTTGCTTAGTTTAGGACTAGAGAACGTTGTGTGATTATGGGTACTAAATTATTTATTTATTTATATATCTAGGTGGGGTCGGCACAACATGTGAATCGTACGACCAGCCGCCCGCCCTCCATGAACCCTCTATGGGAAACAAACAACCAGATACGGAACAATTATCTCAATTATCTGTGGTTCACGAACACACGAACACTCGTAACGTGAGAGAATTGAACCCACAAGCCCCGACACCGAGGCATACCATTCGTTTGAAAATTTTAAATATTAGAAAATTATTAATCAATGCATTCAAGTGGTATATGAGATGGTGGTATCAAAGTTGGCAACGTATCAACTAACGTAGTGTTGCAAAGGTCAATTGGCCGCAGTTATCACCTAACCGGTGAACCGCCAGCTCGTTTGCCACCTTGCCACATAAAAAATATATAAATAGAAATGAAATTCTGCTCTTTTGTAACCGCATCCCTTGGGACCGGATATATCTTTCTATATTTTATAGTCTGTAGGTCTTTTTTATTAAAAGTATGAAATGAGATTTTATTTACGCAAAGGGAAATTGGAAAAGTTTGCCGATAACGTTTTAAATGCGGGAATACCAAAATGTTTTTTCATTTTTTTCTAAGTGACCTTTGAAAGTTTATTATATTCAGACGTTTAAAACATCAGCGGTGCGCTGGTAAAATCAATATCGCTTTTAAATATTCCTTTGGCGTAGGTACATGTAAACATGGAGTATGTTCGTCAAATCAAACTTTCACGGCCGCCGCCTCCATGAGCTTTTAAAAAGCGATCACAAGCAAATTAATTATAGTTATTATTGCGCTCCAATTTAGGCTTGATTGCAGCAATTACCGATATCGACAATTAATCCATCCCTAACCGTAAATAGTTGAAAATTAAGCGTTGTTACATTGGTGTCATGGTCAACTTTGAAATTATAGTATTTGACCTAATTAGACCTAAATTTTACAAAAATAATAAAATAAAATAAATTTTCAAATAAATAATTATTTCAGGACCCATTTATACACGAGGTTTTCTAATCCCAAACTAATCAACGGTTGTACTATGGGTACTAGATAAATGATTAGCAATATTTTTCCTTTGTAATTTTATACATATTATAAGTATAAAAACCCAGACACTCGGAAAATTGTGTTTTCCCGGTGTATGGGTGTTTATATATTGTTCGTCACACAATATTTTTCCAGTAGTGGGGATCGAACCCACTCCCTTGGGCGTAAGAGTAATACCCACTACGCAATCGGGCCGTCAAAAGTCTTTAATTTTTAATTTCAATAGGTTACGCAGCTACAAAAAAAATCGTGTTATGTTGATAAAATTAGATTTACAGAGGACGCGTCAATTATTCTTAGGGTGGAGAAAGTTTATATTAATGTTAATCAAGTGTTTCGTTAAGTTCTATTATTTATTAAGTATTTATTATCGGCTGGTCAGAGTAGTGACTGCAGAACGTTATAATAATTGTGTATCTTAATGAAGTCTTTTCAAAGCTACTTTCATAATTGATAGTTAGTCGTGTATAAGACAATAACTAACAATTAAAGTTAAAGAAAATCAGTCCTTAAGTGACTATTACTTTGTTACACATACCTTTATATTTTATAGACATCTATTTAATCGTTCCTGTAACTTACGCCTGCGGGGTCGTATGAAAGCAGCAAAAGAGTGATAATCACAGGTGGAGACAATAAGCTTTTACTATGCAGGGAAAGTGAAAATAAGTCATCTCTGTCAACCTAGAGACATTAGGCGTGAATATTTATCTAGTATAGCCCATCTACTTCGCTATACATTTAAACAAAGTAACTGGCATTGGATAAAAAAGTTCTTTTTATGAAAACATAATTTTCACATATTCTACTTGTTTAGTTTTCCTCAACAGCGGCAACAAAAGCTTTAAAGTTTAACATTTTATTTTTGATTTTAATTGTTTGAATCATCAAATATGATGAAGAGTTATGGAAGGTACGGAGTCGTGTATCGAAATTTTAAGAGTCGCGGGCAACCGGTGGATGCAAATGGCAAAGTGTCGTTCGTTGTGGCGTTTTGAGGGGGAGGCCGAAGTTCAGGACGTCTTTCAACTGATGAACATGATGATTACATACAGCTGTCACCCTCTAGCTACAACGCACAGACTATTGCATGCAACAACATGTATTAATTTGTTTATTTTGTATATGCAGAGCAACCGCGGGCTGCGAGAGCGCTAGTTTCGAGTTGGGGCCGAAGTAAGGTGGAAGGTCACATGGCAGATCCCTGAGCACTGGAAGTGAAGATGGGCGCGAAGAATGATGAGCGCCCGCCTTGAAGCGGACCCCAGCAGTACAGCCGTCGAGCGGTTTCGACGACGCGTCTGGCGCAGCGCGCGTTCGAATCACTCAGACGAAACATTAGATATAGTCTAGACTTATATTCCAATTATGATAAATATAAAAAAAATCTGGCTGAGGCATTTATTAGCATTATATTCCAGTTATCTTAAAGTAACGTATATCTTATAATTAACAATATAAAACGCTTTTACGATAGAGCACTTATGTCCAAAAGTGTATTACGCTACAATGAAGACGTGTTAGGCGTCCAATGAGTGCTACCTCAAAGTTAAATAAGTTGAAATCGATGTAATGTTTTTTCGGAATACTGGTTGGTATCTTACCTTCTTATTACTACAACCCGTATCCGCAAAGCATTGTATACATCTGAAACTGTAAGCAATATGCAATATTGTTTACAGCTTCCTGTACATCTGTGCAAATTAAGAGAGTTTTTTTAAATGAATAAAACTCGCTCGGTTTCACGGATGGCATCAACTTCGCTTTTAGCATACAGGCTCAGTAATATACCTAAACCGGGGATATTAGGCATTTATTACTGTATTATTTAACATTGAGGTCACACATTGAATTATTATATTTGTACAAATTTCTTTTTAATGCGAGAATGGTGTCTTGAATGTCTTTCTTTGTAAACTTAGGCCATACAATATTAAACCATTTTTTTTGAACTCTCATTAAAAGTTTATGTCCTACTCAATGTTTAATGTTAAGACTTCATTAAAATATTAAACTTACAATAGATACAAAAAAGTTAAAAAAATAATAAAAAAATAATAAAAACAAAAAAAAAATAAAAAATTTAAAAATACAAAAAAATTAGATTATAGTTTAATTATAACTTTTTTCTCTTCTCACAAAATAAATATGTAGTTGTAGCAGCACAGATTTGTCTTTTATTTATCTACCTGGTAGTATTTTTAATAAATACAGGTTTAATAAATAAGTACATACTTTGACATAATGTTAATTGAGAATTCCACAATTCAAAAACATATTAATATTTTATTTTGACAAGAAATAACCGGAAAATATCAATTAAAACATTGTTTGTTTATCCCGAAGAGTAGTCACCCTATTGATAAGCGGTTTAGTAATTACGCATTCAGCGAAACAGTTTTAGAGCTCGTGAATAGGTTATTGTATTGAGACGGTAAGGTAGGAATGTCTGATAGGGTGTCCATAGTGTTTGAAAAAATTAAAGGTAATCTTTGAAAAAAAAATGTGGTCACACAATTCACACTGTTAATATGTCTGTCGTCAATAAAACACACCTGTATATCGTATTATATACAAATAGAAACATACCACTGAGATTAGGCGCAAGTTCTTGGTCTGTCATCATACTTATTATTGGGTTTATGATAAGGTGGTATTTTTAAGTTTTTGCTTTTTTTCCCCGCGTGATAGAGTCACGCATAGGCATTTGCTAATGTTGAACTGGGCCGGCTCAAACCGGGGATGTACCACGTGCTCATTTCAATTATTCAGTATTAAATTTTTGCCTTTTTTCTGGTGAGGGGCCCTATTAAAGGAAAATGTTCTTAAAATTGTTCATCCATGGGTGAGTTGGGTCGCATCCAGTACTGGTATATGATTAGCTATATGAAATCTATAAAAATAATCTGGATCAATATTTAAAAATAATTTCATCAATAAAATGGCTCAATGTCTCGGAAAAATTACCCATTCATTTCCTGACAACAAATACATTTGCTAAGGTTTTGTGTTCAAAAGTAGAATAAACAGATTATGCAATACGCCTGCTTGAAAATAATTGTATCTTAATTTTTATTATCCGTCATTTCTGAGTGACTGAGTGGCTACAAAGAACAACGAAGAATTAAAGACACAACTCATTTTAAAATGAATTTAAGTATTGAGACCCATAAAAGTAAATTTTTCTTTGTTGACACTCGCTATGTTAGTATAAACTTATCAAAACAATCCCTGCTTTTTAAATTATAGACGAATAAAATCAACGGCAACTGAATCCTGGCCTATACAAACTGATTAAAACCTTCATTTTACAAGTGGTACTAATATTAAAAAGAATATAATACATTGACATAGTACATCCTTATTTTTTATAGGATACCAAACATTTTTAAACTTATAGTTTGTACTGAAATTTGACCCCAGTAATGTTAATTGTTACCAAGGTGAGCCTTTTATTAAATTATTATTTCGCAAAATTTATAGTGGTGGTACATTATTTGTATCTTAAAAAATGTAATTCTCATGAAAGCAACAGCGATATACAACAATTGTTATGTTTCTTTTTTACTTTCAAACATTTCTAATAAATGTTTCGTTGAGTTTTTCCATTTCCATCAGGAGTATCGGAACTTTAAGGTAGGATATTAAAGTGAAACGCGAACAAAATTTGCGAAGAAAATTTTCACCATAAATGTAATAATGATAATGCTCGTAAGATATTTTGTTTACATTCTGGATAAGTAAAAATTGTTCAGCAAATGAGATGAATCAGCATTATCATTTTCTCAACAGACATGCCTGGACGTAATAATAAGAAGAATAAACTTGAAGAAAATAGTGTTGAAGGGTAATGTATTTATTTATAATTATTTACGTATTTATTCCGAACACCTACAGTAATTCGGTTAGAAGTTACCTATATTTATTATTTAATTTTACGATATTTATAGAGATGTATGTGTAGAGATGTTTGCGCTTTCTATCCGTAAGGACGCCATAAGCCACCAATCACATCTACATTGTTTTTTTTTATTTTTGGTATGCAATAAATTATTTTTCTTTAATTCATTATTTATAAAAAGCCTCATTGGGCACACCTTATGGAAATGCTACGTTTGATAGACCCTACCTAAACAAGTCACACATGTGGACATGTATGTATTACCAATGTGGAAATTGTCAGGACATCGGGGTGTCGTCGACTCTGTGTTATTCGTTGACTGGTAGAGTTGAAAACTGCCACGGTGTGCGAGTATACCTTGTAGATAGTGACGTCAGGTGAGACCCTCTTGGGGTCCTTGAATACTGGTATATGAAAAAGTTCCGCATACGAGCTGGTATGCGATGTTTGACATAAATTACACTGATCCTCAGTGTAGTTTATATCAAACATCGATTAGAAACTTTATGGCGCCCCGTTACAATGGCTATTTTTTTCTAGCATAAAAACAATTAAAGTTCTACTTGATGATATTTGTTATAAAATAATATCATAAAACTATTTTTAGCCTTAAACGTAAATATATTTATTAAGTAACAAATTATTTAGATTGCCCATAGCGTCTTAATACAGTCCTTCATCTTTATATAGGTTATACCATAACTATTTTGTCGTTTTATAAAGAGAAAATCATGTTTTTATAAAACTTGTTAACTTGCCTAATTAGACCTATCGTGACAGCTGACGACATCTAGTAGTCATAATTAATAAAATGTAAATGTAAATACTAGATGGCGCTATACCCAAGAAAGCTTTAGATATTAGGCATAGAATGTCGTGTTAAAATTTAATTACAACAATGTTAAATTGAAATAAAATTTAACATTGATGAAACTAAATTATAACACATTTTGTCATTTATATTATGATCTCAAAATTAACATGTTACATTATGTACATAGTGAGGGTTACATTTGGGAGTACTAGGTGTCACTGTTACAGCATAAAATTAATACGACAGTGCTTTAAAAGACTAGTGACAGATGGCACCACAGTTTTGGGCTTTTGCAAGAGCAATTGCATTATAAATGAAACTATTTTTCGGATTTGTCGAGTTTATTTTTGTTTTTAGTTCCCGACATTTCGAACTGTTTTCAGCGTTCATGGTCGCGGAACAGACTGAGGCGTCCGACGTCTGAATGTCATAGTTAATTATAAATTTTGTATCCGATCTATTCAAAAGATAGCAGTCCCTTCTACATAAATCGGAAACTTCGCGAATTAAAATTAAAAACCAGCCAGCGATAAACACGTAAAAAAAAGTTTCATGTATAATGGGAACTCGGGTAAATACAAAAAATTACAGCACTTTATTATCTTGTTGGATAATATGTCCAAGCATTTTACTATAATTGAGTCTATAATTATCGAAAAACTTTAGTAACACTATTGCTAAGTGGCCCATAAATATTTTTCAATCATTGACTTGAATGGCGTAGTGGGCAGTGTAATTGCCTCCTGCGCCAGAAGGTGTGTGTTCGATTCCCACTACTGGAAAAATATTGTATGATGAACATAGTGTTTTTCTAGTGTCTTGGTGTTTATTTATGTATAATATGTTTTATTTAAGAAAAGTATGTTTAGTACAAGCGTTGCTTAGTTTGGGACTAGAGGAGAACGTTGTGTGAAAATTATTTATTTATTGATCATAACTCGGTTGACGTCGAGTCTTAGCCGTCACGGTCAGATCTCACGCAAGTCGAATGAAAAATGTGCCCATTTATTTGTACACATTTTAATAATTGAAAGAAAAAACTAAGCCACCGTTGTGTTGGCAGTGCCGAGCCGCGGCAAGGCGTACGAGATCCAGCACCACCAGCACGACTGCTTGGTAATCGGTGCCGGCGGTGCTGGCCTCCGAGCCGCCTTTGGTCTCGCCGCACAGAACTTCTCCGTGGCCCTGGTATCAAAGCTCTTCCCCACCAGGTCACACACGATCGCAGCGCAGGGCGGCATGAACGCAGCGATAGGTAAAAAGTAAAGTAAATCATCAGCCTATACATGTCGCACTGCTGGGCACAGGCCTCCTCTGTACAGAGGGTATCAGGGCATAGTCCACCACGTGGCCCCACTGCGGATTGGCGGACTTCTCATATTTTAGAAATATTTTTTTTTATTTTATTTCGAAATTATGCAGGTTTCCTCACGATGTTTTCCTTCGCCGCTGAGCGATAGGTAAACACGACTAGACTTATTTTCTTATTTGCCGGACTTATCAGTCTGAAATAATGATCATGAGATAGTATTGTTTGCTGATGATACTTCTTTAATTTTTAAAGTTAAACGACATTCTTCAAATTATGACGATGTTAACAATACTCTCTCCACTGTAGTGCATTGGTTTAGTGCTAATAACTTAATGTTGAATAGTAAAAAAACGAAATGTATTAAATTTACAACTCCCAACGTAAAAAGTGTAAAAACTGATGTACTTTTACATGGGGAAGCGTTAGACCTCATTGACTCGACTGTATTTCTTGGCATAACTGTAGATGCCAAATTGCTGTGGGGCCCCCATATTAATAAACTGTCGAGTAGACTTAGCTCAGCAGTCTTTGCAGTCAAAAAAATTAGACTGATGTGGATACGGCTCGTCTGGTATATTTTAGCTATTTACACAGTATAATGTCTTATGGCATTCTACTTTGGGGAAATGCAGCCGACATAAATACTATTTTCATCCTGCAAAAGAGAGCTATTCGAGCGGTTTATAACCTGGGCCCCAAAGATTCACTAAGAAACCTGTTTAAAGAAATAAAAATATTGACTGTAGGTTCTCAGTACATACTTGCTAATGTTATGTATGTTCACAAAAATAAGAATGACTTTTCAAGATTTAGTAATGTGCATGATGTAAATACTAGGAACAAGCATAAATTAGTTCTACCCTCAACTAGATTGCGTAGAATAAGTAAATCTTTTATGGGACAATGTATACGCTTTTACAACAAAATCCCAGAAAACGTTCAAAATGAATCCGTTGCTAAATTCAAAAAACTTGTAAAGGAACGTTTGTGTGTTAATGGCTATTATAGTATTAGTGATTATATGAATGATAACACACTCTGGAAATGAATTGATCGCTCCAGGCTTTTTCAAGTGGAGTTTAATAATTGTACACATATTTGTAATTTTTTTGGCAAGTAAAAAAAAAAGTCCCGCTGAGTTTCTTACGCCGGTTCTTCTCAGGTCAGTGGCTTACCTTCCGAACCGGTGGTAGAGTTTTTTGACTATCAATAAGTAAGTGAATGCTTCTATATTGAATAAAGATATTTGACTTTGACTTGACTTTGATATATTAATGAGAGTGGTATCACGGAAGATAGGTACACTAAGACCACGTGGTAATTTCGTCCGTTACGCAATCCGCGGCTATAGGGCCGTGAAGGACAGCCCTTGTACTCTGGGGTTTCTGTGTCTGAAGAATTTACATTGTTCTTCTGCATGTTAATGGAAACATCTTCCCCAGAGGGGGTACTGTTCTGTAAATCTATAACGCTGGAACGTTAGCTATTTTCGATTTTGGACTAGCTTGAACCGATACCCCATCAAAAAGAGCCTAAGACTGAAAGTTGCGTTATATTCATCTGACATAAAGTGTCTTACATAAACACAAATGTTTACTTAAAAATATCACTGGAACATTTCCAAGGCACCCAATTGATACACATACAAGTAATCCAATAAATGTAATTGAAAATGTTAATTATTAACATCGCTGTAATATTCGACTTTCTTAAACCGCATAAGAGCGTATAGGAAAACATGGATAATCCAGCTCCATGTAATTGTTTAGTTCATTGATTTATTGTTGCTGGGCTAGTGAAGTGTGAATCTCTTGATTCATTACTGAACATTATCTGATGATTGTTATTAACGGATTTTCCAATTTTGAATTTTAGGCAGCATGCACGATGATGACTGGAGGTGGCACTTCTACGACACGGTCAAGGGTTCTGATTGGCTTGGCGATCAGGTATTTATATTTTCAAAATCAATTCAATGCTTATGCTCATAGTTTCTTCATTGTGGACGGTCGATACCTTAAAATGCACTATGTTTAACTACTACAGTCTCACATGAGACCTAAGTTAAATTGACTTTAAGAGTCGAAATAATTACTCGATGGCGCCGTTGCTAAGCTATTGGCTGCGGCTTCGAGGGTCGTGGATTTGATTTTCACACGGAACACACTCACAAATACTTGTGCTACCCACAGATAATTGTTCCAGATCTGGGTGTTTGTTGCCAAGGTGGGTTGACGTCAGGCAGGCGGCCGATCATAAAAGACATAATTAAAACCATTTACAACATTATTCACTTGACCCTAGGTGGCATAATGGCAGAAATGGATGATTATGAACGCCCAATAATAATAACAGGCTACGCTGCATTTCGATATATTGGCAAAATCAACGATCAATTAATATTTAATACCAATGTTCTGCTCTTGCTTCGTACGTGTAGGATTAATTATCAAAAAAAGGGGCAGGAGGATGATGAGTCGAAATAAAATAAATGTATGGAACTCTTCCAGGATTCAATCCATTACCTCACTCGCGAAGCGCCCAACCGCGTCTTCGAATTGGAGAACATGGGAATGCCTTTCTCTCGCACAAAAGAGGGTAAAATATACCAGAGGTCATTCGGTGGCGGCACTATTAAGAACGGCAAAGAAATAGCTAAGAGAACGTGCGCCGTGGCTGACAGGTTAGTCTCTCAAAGTCAAAGCGAAATCAAATACGGTTGAAGTGAAAAGTTTTCAGTTGCATGTCTTTTTCACAAAAAAAAGAGTACTGGGGATAAAATTTTGTTTAATCTATTAGTTTTTCAAATTTTAGCTCCCAAAACGATGGAATAATGAAATCTTCTAGTTTGCAGAATGAAATGAATATTTCTGTAGATCTATTTATTAGATTAATTTGCAAAGCAAAAGTTATAAATGATTCAATTTAGTGTTGTTAAGTAAGTCATTCATGAAATTTTTCGTGTGTAGTTTTGTTTTAATTCCCGATATTGTGACCAATTAGAATCTCGGGGCAAACAATATTAGTGTTTGGTTTTCTTATTGCTTTAATCAGTTTAACTTAACAATTTATAGTGTTATTGCAATTATCAGAACCATTCATTTAGTACGTTTTTTGTTATATGATATTTGAATATTGTTTTCTTTTCTTAAAGCCAAGGTTATAAATGGTTATACGAAACTATTTTATGGATTTCATTGCGTTTCATTTTGAATAACTTGAATCAGAACCGCGACTATCAACTCTTGAAAGGGTTGGCAATTTAACTTCAAAATAAAATTCAATCATTGTTTCATTTAACTGTGATGTTTGAACATATAATCCTAGTACCTGGAGGACCCAGTTTTTTTTGTAAATCATGTATTTCGGAAATACAACAAAACAAATAAAAAGTAAAGAAAATGATCTGGTATAGAAAAAAATAGTAAAAAAGTAAGTGTGTAAATGATCGTGCAACGAATCGCGGCCGTCTGTTTTGGGGCCGCTCGATTACCGACCGAGCTATTATAACATTTTCTTTGCCGCGAAATTTACTGTCATATTCGAATGATATTTTTTTACCGCTGCGTTACCACCGCGACAATAAATGAACACACATATAGAGGATAACTTTTTAAAATTGTATTAAACATTTACATTCTTTAAACATCAATATTAACCCAGTTATTTCTTTTTTCCAAATTATTTTCCAAAACAAACAATTTGAGAACATCCTTACGTATAAAACTGTAACGTAAAGTTCATTTGTAAAGGTCACAAAGCATATGAATTGGTTGAATGAATTTAAAAGAGACAAAACATACTGTTAGAAGGAGAAGCTTGTAATGCGACGCTGTGGCGCGAGTTGTATAGGATGATACAAATTTTGTTTCTTTTTTACATAATTAGTTTGAAAAATATATTTTTTTAATTATGGATTTTGTTTAAGGTTAATATTTTTTTATGATTATTGGCAAGTAGCGTTAGACGTGTGTTCATTTATTGTTGCGATGGTAACGACACGCTGTGTATATATATATATATATTAAAAAATTGCTCGATTAAAGGATAAGACATATTATACCACATTCACCACATGATAATACACCACATTCTCTGTTGGTAAGTGATTGCCCTTAAATTAAAAAAAAATCAGAAGTACATTGCATTGTGGGCGTTCAAGTTCCTAACTTAATATAGGTACCGTTTTTTCTTCTGAATTTTTCTTAATTTACCTCGATGTTACGGGAAAAATAAAACACGTCATCTAGTAGTACTATTCAACACTAATACTGAGATTGTAGTTTTCTGTTAACAAACACATAATTGCACCACAAGATGGCAGTAACATGCAACTAAAATTTATTTTACCGATTGTGAGAAATCATGAAAATTGTTTCCAAAGAAAACTATTTTTTTTTATTTCGATCCCCTTGTTCTGCCTTCCACAACTTCAATGACTAACCTAACTTCCCACAGGACAGGCCTTGCCTAGTGTGGGGGCCTGAGGGAGATGAAATTGTTTAGAATTCAACAGAATAAACTTATTATATTATTAGTTATTATATTCGTTTATCTGATATTAAGTAATATTTTTAATTCCTAATAAAGGTGAAACGTTAATAGCGCCATCTACCAGACATAGCTTGAATTATTAAACTTTACATGGTGGAGCTCTTTTCAACCCTTCAATATTTTGTTTTATAAATATTATGTAAGAGTTTTCACCCATCCATGGCGTAATTTATTAATTCAGCTAATTTTGCAAGAATGTTTTGGTAACTTGATATCCTTAAAAAGTGACATCTACCTATTTATTTTAAATAATGAATGAAGATTAAAGCCGATCAGAAGATGGCGTATCGTGATAAAAAAAACTAAAGACCTTTTTAATTTACCTAGGACCGGCCACTCTTTGTTGCACACTGTTTACGGATACTGCACAAAGTTCGAAAAGGTTGACTTCTTCATCGAGTATTTTGTCCTTGACATTATCCTGCAAGATGGTGAAGTAGTGGGTGCCCTGGCGATGAATTTGGATGACAGCTCCCTCCATAGGTATAAAAAAAATATTTAATTTAACCGTTATTAGAGTGAGAGATCTAACTGGATAGTGAATAAACTGTTTTATTGTTTGGAACAGGAACAAATTTATCGGTACACATTTATTTTTAATGCAGGTCTAATTCTAATGGCTGTCCATAAAACGGGTAAACAGCTATATCAAGAGAATCAAACAATGTTATCATTCAACTATTTTCTATACGAACGTAATGGAAAGGTTCTGGTTTACGAACAGTATAATTTATCCTCAAGTATATTGTAGGTGCATGAGTTTCTGTACTATTATTAGATAGATATTTTTTTACAATCATAAATGGTGGAAAAAATATCTAAGAAGGGTAACTTGTCCTTAATTCAGTAACCATTGGCGCGGACAATGAGCTTTGCTTGCCCGCGCGCTTGTGTTCAATTTCTTTGTACACGAGTAACCGGGCTTAATATCTCCACAAAGCGACTTTATATTACAATCTTAAGCGATTATTTACAACAGCTCGGCGTTGCGCAAAACGTCACGAAGTGGTGTGCCGATATGGCAAGATATAAACGAAGGTGCATACGAAATTGATTTAAGGCCTAGAAGTGGGACATGTTTTAAAAAATGTAGTTATTAGTCGCATATTCAAATATTTGGTATGTACCTGCCGTCTTTCGTATGTATGAGCAGGCGGCAACCGTCCGTGCCAACGCTGGAGAGTCTGAACTGACCCCGTGGTTTGCCACCGTCAGGGCCGGATTTAGGGGAGGGCAACCGGGGCTACAGTCTCGAGGCCTCCACAAAAGAGAGGCCCATACAGTAGAGACTTCAGAAAAAATTCAAATTCAGACTAGTAAACACTAGTAAACTACTTTTAACCTTACTACTACTACTTTTTTACTATACGTGGATTGACGACAAATTATTTATTGGAAAACTGGACTGAAAAAAAATTATTATTAATTGTTTATTTGGAAAATAATATGGGGCCAAGGGGCCTCCACTCCTTTGCTGCCCCGAGGCCTCCAGGCCTCTAAATCCTGCCCTGGCCACCGTTCGCCTCTGTTGCAGGTTTCAGGCGAAGAACACGGTGATCACGACTGGTGGCTATCCGAGGATGTATTTCTCGTGCACGGCGGCCCACACGTGCACTGGTGACGGGTGCGCCATGGCTACCAGGGCCGGCATACCGCTCCAGGACATGGAGTTCATACAGTTTCACCCAACGGGTCTGTCTGCTCTGCGAAAATAGTTCTGTGTTTATGAATAAGAGTTTAGAAAGCATATGATGTCAAGGTTGTCTGTTCGTCTTTTTTGCGTTTTATAGTACTTCTCGCACGGAAAGGTCACTTCGAGATGGTTCACCTTACAAGGATCAAGCACCGTTGGAAGTAGATTATATAAAGATAGCTCTTCTCCTAACAGTTTAAACTGACACCCAATTACCGCGAAAGTTGTTTTATTCATTTAATACTAACCTCAAGATGAAATTTAAATGTGAGTTTTAAAAATATATTTTTGTGGCGCTGTCAGATTTGAACCCGCGTCATCTGGAAAACGATAAACTCTGGAATCGGGCAAATTAATACACGAATCCTTATCCTTAGGAACGTAAGGGGTATTAAAAATCGGAACAGTCTCATCTTTTGCTGTTGCACGAATGGGCTGGACGTAGAGTGGAAGCGTTCATTATTAATATCTACTAGTGGGTAACAAGGTCTATACTTTAAAATTAGGACAATCACGCAATGGTAATGCTCGATATCGGGGAATAACTCATTGCTTTGCAGGCATGTATGGCTCCGGTTGCCTGATGACGGAGGGCTGTCGCGGTGAGGGCGGCTACATCGTGAACAGCAAGGGCGAGCGGTTCATGGAGAAATACGCGCCGAAGGCTAAGGACCTCGCCAGCAGGGACGTAGTATCCAGGTCAATGGCCACGGAGATTCGGCAAGGTAATCTGTCACAGCATTCACCAATGATACTGTAAAATGACCCCTAGCACGGACCGCTCTTTCTGATCCTGTGCCAATTAAAAAGTTCACCCAGATAAAAATCTGCATGCTTATATAGCGCACAGAAGATATCCGGCCGCAAATACAGTTCTCATTCACGAACGGGTTCTTTTCATCTGGACCAGGTCGGCCTTCTTAAATCACGACGATTGATGATCGTTCAGGTCGGGGCGTCGGCCCGAAGAAGGACCATCTGTACTTGCAGCTGCACCATCTCAGTCCAGAAGTGATCCGCGACCGGCTGCCCGGTATATCGGAGACCGCGTACATTTTCACGGGCGCTGACGTCTACACGCAGCCTGTGCCGATACTGCCAACGGTCCACTACACGATGGGCGGCATACCTATCAATTACAAAGGCGAGGTGGGTTACCGCGACCGTCCACCGCACTCTCTTATAAGACAAGTTTGAATCGCCGACGTGGTAGGGCCACACACCAGTTCTGATGCACGAATGGAAGAGCCCATCTGCATAAGATCCGCGATATGTCGACAGCCTAAGTGGACGTCGTATCTCATTCAGGAGACGAAACGCAGAATTCTAATATGGCCATGAAATTTCCCTGGATGAGATTGCCCAATCGTGGAACACTTGAAACTTTTATTATGTTAACGTTGGCAAACGAGCAGGAGGTTCACCTGCTCGTTTTTACGGTGGTAGAGCCACGCAGCAGCCTCGGCTGTTGCACGAATGGGCAGGCTCGTCCGCGTAAGTAACAACTTTTCACATTAAAAAAAAAACCTGATGTGAAGTAATTGCCGGCGCTTATGGGCATCTACAACATCTGACGAAATGTAAATGCGTTGCCAATCAATAAAAAAGTGATCCCGGTAAAATAAATAACAGCATTTATGTACCAGCCAACTTTCGGAGCAAAAGGATCTCTAAATTTAAGTTTATATAATTTAAAAATGATTTCGCATGCTATTTAATTATAGAGAAATCCCTAACCAGTAGTCTAAATAAGTTTAGCGGCGTCTTTATATCGTTCCCTACAACGCTGTTTCATAACTTCTGATTGCATAAACACTTCTTATCTCCTATGATGCAATGACGATGGGGCCTTAACAAATTGCATCCTCCATCCCGCGCTGCCGGCGAATATGAATAGTTCCTGTGAAATCTGCATCTTGCTACAAATTTGCATTATCCCTTGCCAGTCTACTACGTCTGTGAAAATATGAATTGTAGGTCCCATATTTATTTTCCAGTGGTGGAAAGTCGTTAAGTAATTCGTTAAATTTTAATTTTTGAATTTCTCATTATCTACGTTTTATTTTAACCATCAAAACATAATTTGGCTTTTAAATGTTCCTTAGCAACGATCTCTCCTCTGCTACCCTATTTGATTGCTTATCTTATTCGATATTGACGGTGCAAAAGGAAACGGTGAATATGTTTTTTATAATTTAATGCATTTTTAAAAGGATGTCATGTATCTAGTCCACGTGTTAATAATTAAATGATGAATGATTAATCTTCGCCCCATCTCCCAGAGATAATTTTGGAATTTATTTATTTCAACTAAGTCTAAGCTTTGCTTTCATTTTGTACGCAAACAACTTTCATATTTTCAAAGCTAAAAAAAATAAAATATACACGTAGAAAAATTGGTGACTTTATGCTTCCAGTTATTTATGAGTTATTTTACGATGAATTCAATCTATATGCTTCGCCAATCATTGTCGGATGTAACAATCTTCCTTAATTTAGGCTATGTTCATAGTAGACAGACATAGACATAAATTTTATTTGGAAAGCAACAAACAGCACAAAAAATTCAAAAAATAAATGACATGAACATAACAAATTGATAAATAAAAACATAACATCGTTTCAACAAAAAAAGCAAGTTAAAAAATGAAAAAAAGTACACAAAGTTACAAATATAAAAATTATTAATAAAGAAACAAAAAAGACATGGAAACCTTAAAAGGAAAAAATGCATAGTGTATAGTTAATAAGGAATGAATTGTGCTGCGAGTGTGATTGTGATGTCAAAAATGGTCTCCATTCAGCAAAAAATACGGTAAATCTTCCCTCATTCCATTCACCACACACACAAAGACAAAACTTTTTAATTTTTCAATTTATTGCTACAAATCAAGTTTTACACAGGCCTCGGGGCTCAAACGTGAACTGTAGTGGTGCGGTGTAAGGTCACGCAACAGTCTCCGCTGTTACACCTTAAAGAAGTTAAGTGTTAAGTCTTTCCACCTCACTTCGTCATCTCTGGTGAGTAAAGTAACCGGATCCCGCTTAATTATAAGATGGCAACGCATCTGCAAAGCTACTGGTTTTGCAAATATCCGTGGGCGGCGGTTATCACTTAACATCTGCCAGCTCGCATTAGCTAAAACGTCTCCTATTCCAGGCTCTGATATACGCGGGCTCCGACTGCCCCATACCCGGCCTCCACGCTGCCGGCGAGGCGGTCAGCAACTGCCACGGCGCCAACCGGCTCGGCGCCAACTCCATCCTGGACGTGGTGGTGTTCGGCGCCGCCATTGGCCACAACATCGGCAAGAAGTTCAAGCCAGGCGATAAGCAGCCGGACCTGAAGGACGTAAGACTCGAAACACCATTCGACTTAGCTAGCTGATCAATTGTTGCAATCTCAAATAGCTTCGCTTGCCTTTGTTTCCTTGCCTTTGCTAATATGCGGTTCATTACTAATGTACGGTTCCCTTACAGCCGGTTTCAATATTTAATCTACAGATAGATTTGGTTATTAGAGATAGAATTTTGACGTAAGTATTATGGCGCTAATGTCAAATAGCTATCGCTAGTACGACTGTTACGACCTGGGAGCCTTCAAGAAGAGAGCGTACTCTTTCCTAAAATGCCGGCAACGCATTTGTGAGTGGTGTTGCAGATGTCAGGTGAGCCTCCTGCTCGATTGCCGCTTTTTTCCTATTAAAAAAAGATAGAATATTGAAACCGGATTGAATACGCGATTGCATCGCCAGTCTGTATACATAACGCTAGAGATTGCGGATGACCTCTAAGAGTCTTTGCGTGTACTCTTTATACATTTTGGTTGAGGCCGGTCTCCTACACACAGGACTAAACGAAAATTTATCAACGCTCCTTCAATATCCTTTTCCCTTTCAACAAGCATGAAATAAATGTAAAACCTTTTTAAACCTAGTATCATACACAGCGCCGTATTTATAAAAACGCAATGTGAATTCTTATCACGTAATCAGCGCTGAAGGAAAATGTAAAAACATTGTGAGGAAACCTGCATATTTTTAAAATAACAAGAAAAAAAAGTATTTCGAAGATAAGTGTAGTTTGCCAGTCCGCAGTGGGGCCGCGTGGTGGATTCTGCCATTATACACTCTGTACAGAGGAGGCCTTTGCTTAGCAGTGAGAGTTATGCAGGCTACCTTACTTAATGTGGAATTGCAGAAAAAAATTAGTAATGAGTTGACATTTTCATTGCTCTGGATAAAAATACCAAAATTTGTTTTATTAACATTCAAAACATACCCATGTAATTTTCAGATGTAATTGCCATCACGTGATGTTTTTTTAGCATTTTTTAACCTTTTATTTTTTTTAATGGATGGCAAATGAATATTTGTTATATTTTGGGAGTGTGTAAGTGTATAAGTTTGTTACTTTATGTTTAATACCACAGAACCTATGCGATGCGACCCTTGACAACTTGGACAAGGTGCGGAATAGCAAGGGTTGCGTGGCGATCCACGAGTTGCGAGCCTCAATGCGCCAGACCATGCAAAACAAATGCGGCGTGTTCAGAGAAGCGAAACTTCTAAATGAAGGTATTGTGTGTCCTTTGTGCGTTTGGAAATAACCTTCTGCCACCAAAATTAATGTAACTTATATATAGAAACGTCAAGCTGTACGAAAGTTTAATATTGCTAGCCTTAAGCAAAATATTTCAAAAAAATAAATCTTTCGTGTGAGCTGTCGCGTCAAACGTATTTGCAAAAATAGATTTAAATGGTCAAGAAAATAAAAACTTTATACTGTTTAAATTGTCAAAAGTCACTGATTAATGTCTAAAGACCTTCCCGTATAAACGAACAACATGTCAACACGCGGGTTACTATAGAGAACTGTTTATATTACGTTGCTCCTTGATATAAGTAATATTTTGAGGTTTTTTTAAACATCAGCATCACAACACAAGTCGCTCGAAATAACATTATATCAAGGACATCACGTCACCAACGTTGCACATGACCACGTAAACATTAATTTGACGAGATAACAGGTTATAAAAAATCTTGACCAATTAGAACAGAGAGACAACACTTCTAGTGATCTGATTGCGGTCTTTCACACTCACAGGAAACACCGAGATACAGAAGTGGTTCAGGGCTTTCGAACAGGTCATCGTGACGGACAGAAGCATCAACTGGAACACGGATCTTATGGAGGCGCTCGAGCTGCAGAACATGTTGCAGACCGCGATCCAGGTCGTCGCGTGCGCCCTCAACCGCACCGAGAGCAGGGGCGCCCACTTCCGCGACGACTTTCCCAAGCGCATGGACGAGATGGACTACTCCAAACCAACCGAAGGACAGGTGTTGTATATTTGGCGGCAGGCGGGGTTCACCTAATAAGTGATTACCATCGCCCATGGACATCTACGGTGGCAGGACCACGCAACTGTTGCACGAATGGGCAGGTCCATCCGGGGAAGTACAACGACCTCACAGAAGATCAGCGTAAAGTAGAAGTGTTACACTTTTGCGTTTCGTCTGACGAGTGAGGTAGCCGGGGCCCACTTTATTTAAAGGTGGCAACGCATTTTCAACTCTACGGGTGTTGCAAATGTCCATGGGCGGCGGTTATCACTTAACATCAGGTGAACCGCCAGCTCGTTTGCCACTTCCTTACATAAAAAAAAAGATAGCCAACACCAATAGAAAAATGGATTCGGTGTAATAAAGTTTTATCTACAAAACCCGAGGGCTTTTTAGGTGCTTTGACAGCTGTTTAAAAAGTAGGCCTTGGTTACCTTAGCAGGCGAAACGCGAAAGTATAACACTTTCTATTCACGCCGGTCGTCTGTAAGGCCGTGTTCGTTGCACGGGTCTGACCATTAGGAAGCAGAAGCTCTTGCAACGTGGGGTGAGTAATTATTCAGCGTACTATCGCAGCCAACTTTCGGTCGACCAAAGGTATCTCTAAATTTGTACCGCTTCAGAATGATTCCGCAAGCTAGCTAGCATTGGATTTACTTTTAATCTAGCTAGAAATCAAATTTAGAGATCCCTTCAGCGATCCTAAGATCTCTAAATTTTTACCCGGTTGTAATTGGTTAAGGCTGCAAACGGAAGCTCACCTTCACTGATGCCGTAAGCAGTTACTGCTCGTTCATTTCCTTGAAAATCACAGAGTGGAAGGCTTACTTCGTAAATTGCAGACGCCGAAGCCGATCGAGCAACATTGGCGGAAACACAGCTTGTCTATAGCTGACCTCAAAACGGGAAACGTCACCATCACATACCGGCCCGTCATCGACAAGACCCTCGACGATGAGGTCGCGACTATACCTCCCGTGCCAAGAGTCTACTGATGTCCCGCCAGATGTGACCCTTTACGCTTAAATTTATCCTCTAATTAAGTTATTATTACTCGCTTTTCGCGTAGCCTCGTTTTAAAATAAAACAAAAGATTCTTCTTTTTCTCTTATTTTCTTTTCATCAGTACCAAGACAATGTATACTATAAGGAAGAAGAACAATATTTACTATTTTAGCTCTGAAACTTTTTAGCAAACAATAGTACATGGAAATGAGACAATTGCATGGACCACCGATAAGAACTCCCTCCCACGGAGTGACGATTGCCGGGTTCGTATCCGTGAATAAACTTCGGATATGGCGAATTTGTGCATCCTGTGTTAGTGCAGGGGGAGGTAAAGACGTACGAAGTTGCTTGTGAGATTATACCCGTATATTTTGTTTTGAAGAGCGACTAATCACCTGCATTAAAGTTAGCAGTAAATTGTAAAACGCGTAATAAAAAATAATATCAGAACTTAATCACTTATTATCCAGAGAAATGTGATATGAATGCATAAAAAATAAAAATAAAGTAAAGTAACAGCCTATACATATCCCACTGGAGGGCAAAGGCATCGTCTTTTACAGAGGGTATTATGCACCATATGCATTAATATTACAATTATGCAATAATAATCAACTTTTTAATTGTCCAATGCTACCGACGTGACAAGACTAAAAGAGTATGAAGGCAGTGTCCGAAATATAAGTTCAATATTGATACTAGCTGCTGCCCGCGGCTACGTCTGCGTAGAGGGGAGAAAATTTAGGGTTGTATGTATTTTTGTATGCTGTATCATAAAAAAATAAAACCAAAAAATTTTATATAAAAAAATTAAAAGTGAATTTAGGGGTGGACCACCCTTAACATTTAGGGGGATGAAAAATAGATGTCCGATTCTCCACCCTGGCCGATATGCACACAAAATTTCACGAAAATCGGTCGAGCCGTTTCGGAGGAGTTCAATTACAAACACCGTGAAACTATTAGATATGTTAAGCATATTTTAATATTAACTCTGTATGAATGGTTATTTGGTACGTGCCTTCAAATAATTGGCTTCGCTTGGACCCGATAAGTGTTTTAAAGATCTTGAGGAGTATCGTGCCATTTTTGAGTCAGTGCGGCTCTTGTTGTGAATTTTCCTCTTCAACGCACGGCGCTATTAAAATTTTTGTACAGTCTTTCATTGAGATTAGGGTCCGGGCTACGCGCTGGCCGATTAAACGTGCGTATCCCAAGCCTCTTCTAGATGTTAAAGAGCTTGTGCGGGTGAGTATGTCTTGGATTTGAATAAAATTTCAGCCTATGAATCCGATGAAGCCCAATTTCCAAAAAGGTTGTCTACGCATTTGCAAACCCTCTGGTGTAGCAGATGTCTATGGGTGGCGGTATTCACTTAACATCAGGTGAACCGTCTGCTCGTTTGGCAACTTTTCACATAAAAAAAAATGTTAAAAGAACTGAACAACATGAGACATTTTTTTATTTAAAAAAAAACGAGCAAAACTCTGTCCTCCAGTTACTATCTTTTATGCAGCGATGTAATGTGAAACCACCGATACCGATGTCTTGACTTTCCATGTCGTGAATACAATCTTTCGTCGGTTCTTTGATGTGTCACCTCTTTGAGCACATCGTTCTCCACGTCGACGATAGACTTCTGGCTACCATCTGCACCGTTTAAATATGTCCTAGCTAGACTCCTCGGTGAGGTGGCCTTCAGTCAAATTTAAGCGTTCACATGCAAATCGTCAGGGCCTTTGCACACCGTGATATTTTAACGCGCTGGTGACGCGCATAGAACATAATCGGTACGCTCAGCAAACGCAAGTCAGCAGTTACACCAACCACTTCATTTAGCTCACGTTTAATAATAACGCTAAGAAACGATTTCGTTTCACAGAGATGTCGTCACAATAAACCTGTCATCTTGAGGGTTAGCGACCTGAGTTCTGCCCGTCGTCTTCATTCTTCTTTTAAAAGAATCTCTCCACAAACGTTCTGTATATTCGAGAAATCGTAGATGGGTCTAACTTTAAATTATTAACAATAATTTTTTGGTAAATGTAAAAAATATCACTAGATAGAATAAAACAAAGTAGTCCCGTTGTCTATCTGTCCCTATGTATGTTTAAATCTTAAAAACTACGCAGGAGCTCCTGAAGCGGTTTTTTTTTTACTAGATAGAGTGGTTCAAGAGGAAGGTTTATATGTATAATTTATGCACCCGTGCGAAGCCAGAGCGGGTCGCCAGATAATGCCATAATTTCCGTGCGGCTTGCATCGACGAAGGGTCCAAATTACGGAAACAAAATACGGGAAAGTCTTGCTAAAATAACAAAGACTACATAATAATTGTAAAGGTGCGGACAAAAGAAATGTTTAACAGTGAATTTATATAACTTTGTAACGAATTTCGGTAATTCGGCATATGCACTGCTCTCATCTGTCACATTTGGCGACACCTAGCTACTCACGAAATATCTAGACCGAGTGGGGACATTGGATCCGGCTGCTTAATCGCTATCCCGTGCTAGTCGCTAAGGATTTCAACGCAAAGTCTGTGGCGTGGAGATCACACCCCTGACGGAGTGACAGACTACCGTTGGGTGCTCTAGGAATGCCATGGACCGACCGACCGACCGTCTATCCTAAATCGGGGCTCGGTGAAAACGCGCGAGGCTGCGAAGCGTATTAGTTGTGGACACTTCGTTAGTAAGGCCCGCCTAGTCACGCCGTGGCTAGGGGTGGTCCATGAAATAGAGGGTTTCGAATTTACTAAAATTCTAAACCCTCTATTTCATGGACCTACAAGAGGTATCTCGGCCAAATGCTAGATCACCGATGGGATTTCCGTGCCACCTTTGATTGTTTCGCCCCCAAAGCGGCGAAAGCAGCTCTCGGTAGACTGCTTCAAAACTTTGGAGAGCCCGATTAACAATTATCTATATATAATTAGATCTATCTACATATGATACTGTAGTGTGGGTTTGTTTTCCGGATTTTGATTACTTACTCGATTTGGCTTTGTAGACTTGATAATTATTTATTGGCGATTTAAACCGTTCTTTGGTTTATTGAAATGTTTCGTAAACGTAAATCGAAGTCTATCGAGAGTATCATCTCAAGCATAAGCTAAGCGATTAGCTCCATGACTTGAACTATTAAAAGATGCTGATCAGAGAATGAGCGAACAAGCAAAACGCCAAGCTGCGCTAAGAATTGCTAAATCCCCTTCGCACACACAGCAAAGGCGAAATGAGCAAGTGCAGCGACAGGCTGATTCGAGAGCTGTTGAATCCCCTTCACAAGCACACTAAACACGGATTGAAAACGCAGAGAGACAGGTTGCTGTGATAGCTGCAAAATCTCCTACGCTGCAAACAGCGGGACTGGCTGCTTTAAGAGCTGCTCAATTAAAGAGTTGATAAATCACCTTCGCAAACTCAGCAAAGGCAGGTGAACAAGCGGAGCGTCAGGCTGTATTGACGCTGAAATACCTGCTCAGATGCGAAGTTGATTGCAGCAACAGACAGAAAGATAGGCATAACATCTGAAAAACCAGATAATTACAGGTTTACTGTGGTAGGGCCACTAGACAGTATTCGCTGATGCACCCGCGTGAAATGGAAGTTTTATACTTCTGCTTTTCGTCTGTTGAGTGAGGTAGCCGGGGTGAACTGTTTTAAAAAGTGGCACATCTATAATCCTATAGGTGTTGAAAATGTCAATGGTCTGCGGTAACTACTTAACATTAGATCAACCACCAGCTTTTTTGATACTTTCTGACATAAAAAAGGAGCGTAGAGGTCAAAATGATAAACTTAATACCAAGCTTCGTCAAAATTTTTTAAGGAACGCCTGGTCTGATTTTATGAGGTGACATTTAATTATGAACATTTAATTGACTATAAAAATCACTGGCTCAGTTTAATCTGACTAGTGAATGTCGTTTTTGCAGTATCTTGAAATGGAAGAATGAGACCGCAGGCGCTTTAATAGGAAAGTTCCCCTTCCTTTACTTGGTGTGTTATTGTTGGTTTGCTTGGTTTATTGTTACGTTGTAAAAAATAAAAATTGTATTTAACAATTATTGATTGTGATGTCAAATACTTTATCGTAACCAAGCAATATTGAAGAATTAAGGTTAGTGTACTTCCCATGACTTGATGATTTTACTATATGTCTAAATGCTCGCTAGTATACAATATTAAAAACGTTTTTTTAAATGCTAGTAAACTATGCCTACAATATTATTGGCTCGAAAAATAAATATACCTCAAAAATAACAAACTAGGCGATAACACATTTTTTGATTACACGACGCCATAGTCAACACACTTTCTTCCTACCAAATTTCGCCCATTATTTATATTCCAACCCCAATCTTTTACTTAGCCGAATCGATGATCCCGTACCCCCGGCTTATGGCATTTGACCTCTACTGCTCCCGACATCTGTTCGGACGCCACCCTACTTAATTCGACCGGAGGGGGCTGGTGGAGCTCAACTTGGGCTGGTCACGTTGCCCGTGCGTGATGGCCCCACCTTAGCCAGGTGTTTGGAGTTCATCACATCCAATCTTGCAACATCGCCTCGCCTGTCAATTAATATCATCGAACGGCGTGTACTCCTTTGTTTTACTCGATTAAATAAACGGACCGTTGTTTGGCAGTAATCGTTTTTCTGACGATGCCAAAAAGATGATATTTACTAATTTATTTATTTTTGCCTGCAGTGCTAGCTCAGTGTCCGGGCGCTCGCCTTTAATTCAGTTTACTCGAGCAACCCGAGTTCGATCCCCGGTGCCAGCACCAATGAAATTAATTTTAAGTGCTGACTTATCACGTGCTCGGCGGTGAAGGAAAACATAGTGAGGAAACATACATATTTTCGAAAACAAAAATATTCCGAAAATATGTGATGTCCGCCCATCCGCAGTGGGGCCGCGTGGTGGACTATGCCCTGATACCCTCCGTACAGACGAGGCCTTTGTCCAGCAGTG